CGCAGACGTGGGGGCCTCTCTGAGTACATGCCAAGTGCCCACCCAGGGCAGCTCAGGTGACCTGTCCTGGCTCTCAGACATGGTCTCTCTCCTCCCCTGGACAAGGGAGAAAGGCTCCCTGCCCTCCCAGCTGTGTCTATGTCCCTCTGGGCCACTGGAGGCCTCTTCCTGGGCCTGCAGTGGGTCTGGTCCCCTCCTGCATCAGTCCAGATCCCTGGGCCGCCCAGGTCTCCCTTGGGGGCCTCCCCTGCAGCTCTCCAGGTGGCACCCGCCCCTCCCCAGCATCTCTCCTGCAGCACCCCTCCTCCACACCCCCCAGGCTCCTGGCTAAGCCAGACTTGGGCTCTGGGACCACGCAGTCTGTACCAGCTGGCCCGGCAGGCTCATCAGCGACCCTACAGATTTCAACCTGGTTTGCCTTAGCACGTGCTAAGGTGCTTGATGAGCAGCCAAGCCACAGAGCAGAACACTGTTCAGCAAACCCTGCTGCAGTGGGACGTCTCCTTGTTAGTAAGTCCCCATGCCCGGGACCTGCTGCGGTGTGGGTCACTCCATGACTGTACAGCTGGACCTAGCCGGGCTTTGTCCAGCCCACACGGCCTGACCATGTCCTGCTGGGTTCTCCAGAAATGCAGAGGAAGTACACATGCCTGCCGTGGAAAGTTCTGGGCATCGTGGGAGTCCCGCTCAGGGCCCTCACTACTGACTTGCCACTGAGGTGACGTGGGCAGGGGACAGGAGCATGTTCTCAAGTGCTGAGCCGCACAGCAGATGTAGCAGAAGCTCCAAGGAGCCAGTGTGCTGGGATTTGAAGGCTGCTTTGACAGATCTGTAGGGTTTGCTTAGCCAGGCAGCATCCAGCAGGGCTTGGAGGACTGGGTGAGCAAAGGCACTGTGGCAGGGGAGCTGGGTGAACTTTGAGGACAGTGACCTGGTACAACCTGGTGAGGTAGAAGACTGGCCAGGCCTATCCAGGTGGTCTGGGTGGGAAATATGAGGGGACTAGGATGGGCAGTGCAAACGGCTTTGTGGATGGAGAATCAACTGAGGGTCTCAGGGGAGGAAAACAAAGAAATGGGTTCATTCAGTGAAGTTTGTGCATGGACAGCGGGAAGAGCCCCCCCAGGGGTGTGGACAGGGGGAAGTGCCCTTCAGGGGAGTGGACAGGGGGAAGAGCCCCTCAGCAGGATGGACAGCAGAAAGTGTCCTCCCAGTGGGGGGGGGACAGGGGGAAATGCTCCTCAGGGGGTGGTACAAAAGAGGTTGCTGGCTTCAGTTCTCAAATTCCTGATTTAATCCAAGGGCCAGTAAAACCTGCGACCGGCTGAAATGTCCCTTTCCTTTAGGGGAACACTTCAGAATACTACTACTTGAAAGTAGGTGGTAAAATGCAAGATGCCCACCCTGGCTTGAGATCAGATTTCACCCAACAGCCTCACCTGAAAGGGTCAGTCTCTCGTTCAGGCCCCTCCAGCCCCAGGGCTGGGTCCTGGGACCCCGCCCTCCACCCCACCTGAGGCTCCCCTCTGAACAGCATACTCACTGAAAATTCACTTTGTCCACTTGGAATCGTGTCTCGAAAATTCCCGATGTCAGCACCCTGCACCTGAGGAGGTCCTGGGAGCAAGGAGAGAGAAGCCAGCTCAGCCCTGCCCTGCTGTGACCACGGTGACCAACCCTTTCAAAGGACAACTTCTACTGTAAAAAAGCAGCAATAGCTAAAGACTCAGATGAACGCTCTGTCTTATCCTCCAGGGAAAATCCACAGTGAATATATAGATTTGGTCCCCAAGACTTGAGAACTGTGCTTTTCTTTTCTGTCTTTTTTTTTTTTTTTTTTTTTTTTGGTACTGGGGATTGAACTCAGGGGCACTCAACCACTGAGCCACATCCCAGCCCTATTTTGTATTTTATTTAGAGACAGGGTCTCACTGAGTTGCTTAGCACCTCACTTTCACTGAGGCTGGCTTTGAACTCCTGCCTCAGCCTCCTCTTTTTTTCAAAAAACGTTCCCAGTGAACATCTTGCGACTGCTTTGCCCCTGACAACTGAGTCACAGCACTCGCCTCTGGGGAGAGCACCTCTGCTCCTGTTCAGCTCTGGGTGAAGAATACTTTCAGAGAGAAAGTAACTCTGCATTCACAAACCAGGGACCAGAAGACTAGAATCGATTATAGATTTGCTCCCTTCCTTGAATATCTCTTTTCTCTAAGATCTCAGATGACATGGTCCCCAGGGGATGGAAAGCCAGGGGGTTTCACTAAGGGGACATCTCTGCTTCCCAGGCAACCTCAGGGTCTTAAGCTCCACCTTTGTGATGCTGATGAAGCGGTCACTGTGCTGCCATTCTAGACCGAGAGAGGTGGTCCTGCCGTTTTACACCAGGAGGAGTGTTTAGGACGGGACTAAGGGATCCGCCTGAGGCTAGGAAGCCCAGAAGGCTGTCAGATCATTGTAAGCTCTTGGAATTGGCTTCAGGGAGAGAGGGACCTTAAGGGAGAGAGAGGACCTCAGGCTTCCAGGAAGGGGAGAGGAGGGAGCCTCCAGGGGCCCAAGGCTCAGGCCCCAGGGATGCAGCTCTGGGGGGGGGGGGCTGAATAGATCCCCTCCTATCCTCCTTGGGGCGCACCAGCTCTGGAAGGCCTGGTGGCTGTGGAATTGAGCCGCCTGGGCACTCGTCTCTGCACATGCCTGAAGCCTCTGTGCCTACAGTTTGTTCAATCCAAGGGAGACCGTGGGGCACAGGTGCAGTGTCCTATGGGACCCTGCTGGGCCCAAAGCAGAGAGGCCCCGTCCACAAAGAGGAGTTGAAGCCTGGCTTTCCTGCTGCCTGGGCTTCTTTCCAAGCCCGGGAGCAGGGGCTCAGGCTTGGTGACAGGCTGAGGACACTGGCATGCACAGTGAGCGTGCAGCAGGCATCTGAAGGATTTTTTTTTCTTAACCTGTTTTAAAACGGTCACTGAGTCTCTGGGAAGTTGGCCGCAGGCTTGCACAGGGTGCTGCTTGCCTACCTGGTCAGTGGGAGTGTAGTCCACCAGGCTGACACTGTCGATTCTCTCCAAGAAGCTGCAAGAAAAGCCGTGTTCGCTCAGCAGCAGGTTCTGATGCCTGTCCCCTGGGTTGGGGACACATGCTCAGGGCAGAACAAAGTGAAAAACCAGCCTCTACCTCAGAGCAAAGCCTGTCCAAGGACTGACCTTTGTCCTTGGAAAGCCCCACAGAGCACTCCTAGGCACATTCCCACCCTGCGAAGTGGTTTATCTAAAAATAACAGGAGAGATCTGCTGCCCCAGATGTCCCTGACTCAGTCAGGCTAGGTGGGAATCCATAGCAACCCCGTAGCAGCCACCAATCAGCATGAGACAGGGAAATACCTGGGATGCCAGATGACCCTCCCAGTAGTTTATGGTGGTTGATAACGTGTTGGGAAAACATATAGTTCAGCACATACACCCCTCTTGGCTTAAACCAATCAGTTCAAATGAATCCCCCTCTTGTAGTAACCAATCACCCCTACCCAACTTGTTCCCGCCAGTGAATGTGCTAATCATGTTTTAGAGTTGTTATTTGATTTTCCCGCCGGTGTGTGATGATTTGCTAAGAGAGGCTATGATGTATGTGAAGTCCCTGCCTTCTCCAAAGAATGTATAAAACTGCTGCAAACCCTGGGCTCGGAGCCTCTCAGCGTCACCAGTTGCTGTGTGCACGCAGAGGACCGAGCTAGCTCGCAATAAACACCTCTTTGCTGCTTGCATCAATCTTGGGTCTCTGGTGGTCTTTTGGGAGTCCCGAATTCGAGCATAACAAAAGCACACGAGGACGGGGTGGGCTGAGAGCTGAGGTCACCGCCCACCTTCCTTCCAGGAATGCATCCTGGATAATGCTACTGTCTGGCCGAAGAGCAAAGGCCTGATTCTGGTGTGAGTGTGTGTGTGTGTGTGTGTGTGTGTGTGTGTGTGTCTTGGGGATGAACCTGGCTTCCCACAGGCAGGGGCAAGCACTCTGCCCCTGAGCTAAAATTCTAAAAATTTTGAGAAAGGGATTTCCTAAATTGCTGAGGCTGACCTTGAACTTGGGATCCTCCCACTTCAGCCTCCCCAACAGCTGGGGTTACAGGTGTGCACCACCATGCCTGTCTTTTCTCTTCATTTTAACCTCTACCTTCCCTCTTTCTTCTTCCCCAGTCCTACAGGGTTGGGGAAAGGGCCAACTGGAAAATGAGGAAATGGGGGGCCTCCTTTCCAAAGAGAAGACAGTAGAAGTCATCGTGATGTAAATAAAACAGGGAAGTTGAGAGATGACCAAAGCCTGTGTGGGAGGAGAGTTATATTGTGCCCGTAGAGACACTGCAGAGCTAGGACCCAGGTGACAGGGCAGTGAGAAGCTGGTGGCCTCTTGAGAATGGTAGTGTGGATCCTTGTAGCTGCCTGCCTTCCTGGCTGGAGGAGGGAGGGTCTGCCCCAGCTGAGGCCGGTTTGAGAATAAGAGAGGAGGTTGGCTCAGTGGCGCTGGCCTCCAAGGTGGCCATGGTAGCGAGCACGAGGGCAGGACGCCCGAGTCCCCCCCCAGGAGGGAACATGAACAAAATCTGCAAGTGGGAGAAGTCCCTGCCTGTGGCGGGCGCTCAGGCCTGGGGCTGACAGCAGCTGCTCCCCAAGCCCTGGTGCTGTCAGCATTGACCCAGACGGCCCTGCTGACTTGACACAGGCACCTGGGGCTGAGCACTCCAGGCAGACTCAGCTCCTTGGAGAAGGGAGCAAGGCCGAAATTAAACCTGGCACCCAGGATGCAGGGTGTAGGAAGCAATTGACTTAAAATGGATGCACTGGGGCGGAGGCGCCCGGGAGAAAGTATTCAGATGGTAATAACCTGTATGAGCAGAAACAGTTGAGAGAGGTTGACAAAAAGCACATCTGAGGTTCTGCTCCAGAACGCAATTAAACACTGCCTTCCAGAGGAAGTGGTGGGAGAACCGTGCTGAGCCACTGTCCTGAGATGCTGGTGGGTCTCCCCCCACCTCCAGGGCAGGCATTGGGCTGCCTCCAGTTTGGCCGCCTGGCTCACGTCCAGGGCTCCCACAGAATGACCTCACTGGGGGCTCCTGAGGTTACATACAGAGGTGAGCTACAAAGGGGACTTGAAGTCACATAGTCTGGCACATGACCACATTTGAAAGGGTTATAACATTGTCTCCTTAAAAATGCCACTGCACTCTATGAAGAAAAATTAAGGAAATCTAAGAATTCCTCTTGCAAACCTTTGACTACATACTACACACAGAGCTTCAAAACATCATCAAACTGTGAAAAGTCACTTCTGCAGGAATGGAGGTGCGCACGTGCAGTCCAGCAGCTCAGGAGGCTGGGGCAGGAGGATTGCAAGTTGGAGGCCAGCCTGTGAAACTTAGTGAGACTCTGTCTCACAATAAAAGAAAAAAGCTGTGTGTGGAGCTCAGTGGTAGAGGACCCTTGAGTTCAATCTTCAGTAACCACACCCTCCCCCCAAAAGTCACCTGCATTGTTGAGAATGTAGACAATGTACCTTTTTCTCCTTTTCCCTTTGAAACCTCAGATTACATCCCCATGGAACTCTCTCCACCTGGCACTGAGGCACACTCTGTTTAACAGAGTGCACAGCCTTTCATTGTGATTCACCCCCTTCTTAGAAGTGGCGATAGGAGACACATGAAGCATGTGAGCTACACTCATCTTTTTTTTTTTTCCTTTAAAGGCACAAAATGCAAAACCAAACCAAACCAAACCAAACAAAAAATTGCAAAACATTCCTATATTGTCCAGGCTGGTTATTGAACTCCCAGGCTCAAGTGATCCCCCTGCCTCAGCCTCCAGAATAGCTGGGGTTACTGGTCTGAGCCACTGCCCACCTTGCACCAATCTTTTTTTTTTTTTAAATACATATTTTTAGATGTAGATGGACACAGTACCTTTATTTATTTTTTATGTGGTGCCAGGGATCACACCCAGTGCCTCGTGCATGCACGGTAAGTGCTCTACCACTGAGCCCCAGCCCCCTTACACCAATCTTAAGTGTTCAGTTTGATCTTTTTTCACACCCATGTCCATATTTCCTTTTATGTGCATGTCTCATCTAGTATTAGTGATGCTTAAGGGCAGACACTAAGTTTTTTAATCTCTAGAGAGAAGTGTCACGTAGCTGGTGCCTGATACATTTTGGTCTGGTCTTTCACCATGTCCCATCATTCTGAATAAACACCACTGACCTGTTTGTCCTGAGACTGTTCTGGTAAGAGACAGACTGCCAGCCCCAAGGAGAGGGACAAACATTTCCATCTGGACCAGTGCCGTGAAGGGCAAGACACAGGGCTCCCAGCACCATACCCGGGGCTCTGCCTGTGCTCACCACGGCTGTTCCCTGCATCCACTGTTGCCATCAGGGAGCTCCCGGCACTGTCAAGAGAGCACCCCAGGGAGGCACACTTGCCCTGGTGCACCAGGAGCTCACGGCATCAGGTGCCAGGCCAGAGCAGACCCTGTGTGCTCCTGCTTCTGGTGGAATGACATCTAGCTGTGCAAAGGTGGATTTCAGGAAACCAGGCAGGCATTTGCTAATGGATTAAAATCAGTTGGTTGTTTACAAACATTACAGAGGTCTGTTCATCAGTTTGTTCAACGTCCCTGGCTTCTCACTTTTGTTAATGGTACCAAAGATTCGAACTTGACTTTTGGCTACAGAAACACCCTCCAGGTGGTGCTTGTGTACTGCAGATGGACGGAACCCCTCACTTCAGCTCTTAGTGGGACGAGCTGACCCTGATACCACGGGCAGTAAACAAGATTGTCAAATGGACAGTGTGCAGACCTTGTGGTAGGTCCTGTCGAAAGGCATACAGGGTGGCCTGAGGCTTGCTCTGTTAGGAAACTAGCTTTAGTTAGAAAGGTCTTGGCAGATACATCTGGGTTGCTGTATTCAAATAAGTCAAAATTGAAGGAAAGTTAAGTTTGTGTATCTGTTTAACTCTATGTCTCTCCCCATTCTTTTTTTTTGGGAAATTGAATCCAGGGGCGCTTTACCACCAAGCTACGTTCACAGCCCTTCTTATTTATTTTTGAAACAGGTGTTGCTAAGTTGCCAGGCTGGTCTTAATTCAGCACCAGCCTCCAGAGTTGCTGGAGTTACAGGTGTGGCGGCCACACCTGGCTTTCCTCAATAATTCAAACCTCAGGTTAGAAACTGCATTTGAAAGCAGGAAAATAAGACTAAAAATAATGTTAGTAGTTGCATGAACTGCTTTCCCTGGTGTGTTTAAATTGGACCCAGTCATAGGCTACTCATCTTTGGTCTAGAGACATTTCAACAGATGATCTTGCTGCCAGGAAGAGACAATTACTGTAAAGAAGGGATAGACAAGGCTCCGAGGAAGGTGCAAGATAATGCCATATTGATCACACAGGAGCTCAGGTGGGAAGACCAGGTTGGGGGGCGGGGGGGGGGTCTAGTCAAACACCAGGCTTTTTGAGCAAAATCTACCTCTGGATTCTTTTTCCTTTTTTGTGTGTGTGGTGCTGGGGACTGAATGCATGCTAAGCACAGCCCTACTCTGAGCTACTTCCCAGCACATAAGCAACTTTTTAAATAGGACTCATACTCATATGCAATAACATGCAGTTTAAAACAATTTATTTAACAAAATCTCTGTGATTTACATCTTATCATTGCATCAACTCCAAAAGTGAGGAAATAATTCATGGGCCTGTAGCGGTGCTTTTGAAAATAATATTTGATTCATAAAAAATGTACATTCATATAGTATGAAATGAACATATTTTAAGAAAGTTCAAGCATATACAAGAATTGTTTAATCTTACAAAAAATATTTTAATGGGAATATCTGCACTACAAAAGTGTCTTCAACATACCAAAGAATTCAACACTAAGCTATTTTTTGAGTTCTAATTATAATTTTCCAGTCCAAAGAGGGTTTAAGACACATGCTGTACTCACACCAGGCAGGCTTTGTGAAACCAAGCGATGAGAGGACACCCGACCTGCTAAGGGCCCATGACAAAAGACTCTGGGCAATCGAC